TTGGGTAGAATAGCCATTTTGACAATATTGATTCTTCCAATCCATGAACACTGTATGTTTCTCCATCTGTTTGTGTCCTCTTTGATTTCTTTTATCAGTGTTTTATAGTTTTCTATGTATAGGTCTTTTGTTTCTTTAGGTAGATATACTCTTAAGTATTTTATTCTCTTTGTTGCAATGGTGGATGGTATTGCTTCCTTAATTTCTCTTTCTGTTTTTTCATTGTTAGTGTATAGGAATGCAAGGGATTTCTGTGTGTTAATTTTATATCCTGCAACTTTACTCTATTCATTGATTAGCTCCAGTAATTTTCTGGTAGAGTCTTTAGGATTTTCTATGTAGAGGATCATGTCATCTGCAAACAGAGAGAGTTTTACTTCTTTTCCTATCTGGATTCTTTTTACTTCTTTTTCTGTTCTGATTGCTGTGGCAAAAACTTCCAACACTATGTTGAATAGTAGTGGTGAGAGTGGGCACCTTTGTCTTGTTCCTGATTTCAGGGGAAATGCTTTCAATTTTTCACCATTGAGGGTGATGCTTGCTGTGGGTTTGTCATATAAAGCTTTTATTATGTTGAGGTATGTTCCTTCTATTCCTGCTTTCTGGAGAGTTTTAATCATAAATGAGTGTTGAATTTTGTCAAAGGCTTTTTCTGCATCTATTGAGATAATCCTATGGTTTTTATCTTTCAATTTGTTAATGTGGTGTATTACATTGATTGATTTGCAGATATTAAAGAATCCTTGCATTCCTGGGATAAAGCCCACTTGGTCATGGTATATGATTTTTTTTAATATGTTGTTGGATTCTGTTTGCTAGAATTTTGTTAAGGATTTTTGCATCTATGTTCATCAGTGATATTGGCCTGTAGTTTTCTTTTTTTGTGGCATCTTTGTCTGGTTTTGGAATTAGGGTGATGGTGGCCTCATAGAATGAGTTTGGAAGTTGATCTTCTTCTGCAATTTTCTGGAAGAGTTTGAGTAATATAGGTGTTAGCACTTCTCTAAATTTTTGGTAGAATTCAGCTGTGAAGCGATCTGGTCCTGGGCTTTTGTTTGCTGGAAGATTTCTGATTACAGTTTCGATTTCCTTGCTTGTGATGGCTCTGTTAAGATCTTCTATTTCTTCCTGGTTCAGTTTTGGAAAGTTATACTTACCTAAGAATTTGTCCATTTCTTCCAAGTTGTCCATTTTATTGGCATAGAGCTGCTGGTAGTAGTCTCTTATGATCCTTTGTATTTCAGTGTTGTCTGTTGTGATCTCTCCATTTTCATTTCTAATTTTGTTAATTTGGTTCTTCTCTCTTTGTTTCTTAATGAGTCTTGCTAATGGTTTGTCAATTTTGTTTATTTTTTCAAAAAACCAGCTTTTAGCTTTGTTGATTTTTTGCTATGGTCTCTTTAGTTTCTTTTGCATTTATTTCTGCCCTAATTTTTAAGATTTCTTTCCTCCTACTAACCCTGGGGTTCTTCATTTCTTCCTTCTCTAATTGCTTTAGGTGTAGAGTTAGGTTATTTATTTGGCTTTTTTCTTCTTTCCTGAGGTAAGCCTATAATGCTATGAACCTTCCCCTTAGCACTGCTTTTACAGTGTCCCATAGGTTTTGGGTTGTTGTGTTTCCATTTTCATTCATTTCTATGCATATTTTGATTTCTTTTTTGATTTCTTCTATGATTTGTTGGTTATTCAGAAGCATGTTATTTAGCCTCCATATGTTTGAATTTTTAACAATTTTTTCCCCTGTAGTTGAGATCTAATTTTACTGCACTGTGGTCAGAAAAGATGACTGGAATGATTTCAATTTTTTTGAATTTTCCAAGACCAGATTTATGACCCATGATGTGATCTATTCTGGAGAAGGTTCCGTGTGCACTTGAGGAAAAGGTGAAGTTGATTGTTTTGGGGTGAAATGTTCTATAGATATCAACTAGGTCTAGCTGATCCATTGTGTCATTTAAGGTTTGTGTTTCCTTGTTAATTTTCTGTTTAGTTGATCTATCCATAGTTGTGAGTGGGCTATTAAAGTCTCCCACTATTATTGTGTTACTATTAATTTCCTCTTTCATACTCGTTAGCGTTTGCCATACATATTGCGGTGCTCCTATGTTGGGTGCATATATATTTATAATTGTTATATCTTCTTCTTGGATTGATCCTTTGATCATTATGTAGTGTCCTTCTTTGTCTCTTTTCACATCCTTTATTTGAAAGTCTATTTTATCTGATATGAGTATTGTGACTCCTGCTTTCTTTTGGTCTCTGTTTGCGTGGAATAATTTTTTCCAGCCCTTCACTTTTAGTCTGTATGTGTCCCTTGTTTTGAGGTGGGTCTCTTGTAGACAGCATATATAGGGGTCTTGTTTTTGTATCCATTCAGCCAATCTTTGTCTTTTCGTTGGGGCATTCAACCCATTTACATTTAAGCTAATTATTGATAGGTGTGGTCCTGTTGCCATTTACTTTGTTGTTTTGGGTTCACGTTTATACAACCTTTCTGCATTTCCTGTCTAGAGAAGATCCTTTAGCATTTGTTGAAGAGCTGGTTTGGTGGTGCTGAATTCTCTCAGCTTTTGCTTATCTGTAAAGCTTTTGAACTCTCCTTCATATCTGAATGAGATCCTTGCTGGGTACAGTAATCTAGGTTGTAGGTTATTCTCTTTCATTACTTTAAGTATGTCCTGCCATTCCCTTCTGGCCTGGAGGGTTTCTATTGATAGATCAGCTGTTATCCTTATGGGAATCCCTTTGTGTGTTATTTGTTGTTTCTCCCTTGTTGCTTTTAATATTTGTTCTTTGTGTTTGATCTTTGTTAATTTGATTAATATGTGTCTTGGGGTGTTTCACCTTGGGTTTATCCTGTTTGGGACTCTCTGGGTTTCTTGGACTTGGGTGGCTATTTCCTTCCCCATTTTAGGGAAGTTTTCAGCTATTATCTCCTCGAGTATTTTCTCATGGCCTTTCTTTTTGTCTTCTTCTTCTGGGACTCCTATGATTCAAATGTTGGGGCATTTCACATTGTCCCAGAGGTTCCTGAGGTTGTCCTCATTTCTTTTGATTCTTTTTTCTTTTAAAATTTTGTATTTCTAACCAGTTCTCATGCAATTTTGATTCAGTTTGTCTTCTGTCTGCCACAGTATTTCATTTATTAATTTAGTCAAAAAATATTAACTGATCACACACTCTATGACAGACAGTGTATTTTGTGTAGCATTCTCTTTTCCCTGGGGCAGTCCTCTCCCAGAAACCCCCAGTGACAAATTCAGGGGCTTAGGGATTTTTTGACATGGTTCTCTTCAATACAGTCTTATTCCACTAATTTGATTAGCCAGTGATTAGCAAACAGTTTCTTCTGGACAGTGAGAAGGGAAACCTCACATAATCTAGGCTCAGTTATTTCAAATTGTGAATTAGTGGAATGATAATTGATGAACTTGTTTTCTGTCCTCCAAAATAGTATTTTGTGGCTATATGGGCTGTTGATTATGACTCAGTTTGGAACACTGGTTAGATCCTGTTTTTTTTTTTTTTTTTAAGCCATAGAGAATATTTATGGAACAATGGGATAATTTGATGACTTTTTAATAATATACTAATTTTATTTAAGTTTTAGTCATTTGGAGAATGTCTTCTCTTTGGTGATGTATGTGTCAAGATATCTAATATTTACTTTAAATCTTTCAGAAAAATATATGTATACATTATATCTATTTATATATAGTTATCTATTATATTTGTATTATAAAAATTTTCAAACATACAGAAGAGTTGAGAAAATAACACTATATATCTATATATATAGTTGGTTGAAGTGCTCAAACTATGTATATATATGTAAAATTAGGAGAGAGAAACAAACATGGCAAAATGTGAACATTCTTTGAACATACGTAGAGAGCATAATAGGTATCTATTAGACATATAGTTACAATATATATAATCTATTTATCTATAGTATCTATATATTATGAAGAAGTATAACTTTTTACTTTCTGTTATATATAGTGAGTAAAATGTTTTATATATAGATATTATAGATAAATAGATTACATATATTATAGCTGTATGTATAATAGATATCTACATGCTCTCTACCTGTATTCAAAAAATGTTCACATTTTGCCATATTTGTTTCTCTCTCCTAATTTTATATATATATATAGATAGATAGTTTGAGCACTTCAACAGAACTATATATGTATATAAATATAGTATTATTTTTTCAACTCTTCTGTATATTTGAAAATTTTTATAATACAGATTTGAGTGGAAAAGCAGGTTTAGAAGATTCATCAGATATTTGTCTCTCATACCAAAGAGATTTTCAGTATATGGTAAACGTTGATGTACTTGACACCATAATGTAACACAGTTCAGAGACCCTCACAAATCTTTGCAGCACTCTGCAAAAGATCACAGAGGAAAGGATTAGAAAGGCAAAATGTACTGCAGCATTAAGTGAAATCCAGACCAGTTAGACGACTTTTATTTATCTAGTAAACTAAAGTCTAATCTCTGTAAGTCATGTCTGTCTCAACAAAAATTTATAAACTGGCAGCTGGAAGGGGAAAAGAATTCGTTAAGAAGTGTAAAAATAAGAACTCACCCCTTCTGAAAATAACTTTGCATTATTACATATATGATTTTGTAAATTTTTTTAATTCCATTATCAGATACAGTTTACTCTGACAGAATGTAAGTGAATGTACATTTTCAGGAATAATAGCATACACTTTCTTATAAACTTCATTGCCACCGGGACCACAGGTTTCAGATTCTCTTGCAGATTTGGTCTTTTTACCCATCTGAAATGCTCGAACTATGGAGCGGGTGGGTCTGTTCTTTTTCAATTACCCTTCTTATCACATTGGGTAATATGCTTCACTCTGATTGAGTTATGACTCCTCCCTGCGGGTGTGGACTCATTATCTGAGTTAGTTTCCTTAAGCTCCTTCCGTGCTTGTTTTCTTCATCGCATTTTTCACCGCGTTCGCCCGGGCCTGTTAGAGCCGGCTGGGCCCGGCGGCGGGAGCGCGGACACTGGGGGCCTGGGAGCGCGGACACTGGGGGCCTGGGAGCGCGGACGATGAGCTCCAGGCCTTCCACGACCAGGCAGACCTCCGAGCCAAAAGGGAGGACCCTTCATCTATGTCCCTGCAGATCTGCTCAGGCACCTCTACCCGAAAAGTCAAGACACTAGTGTTAGAAGATGGTACGGCATTCACAACATGGGTTAGGTGTTCTCTGCGGGCTGCTCGTGTGTGAGGTGCAAGAGATACAAACGAGAAGACATGGACTTTAGAGTCAAAAACAGAGGATGTCAGTGTGGAAAAAGCAATGTACAGTTTACATATCCAAGCGTGTATCGTAAGCATCCTAACGGAGACGTTCACAGTTGTGTGGTCTTCGAGTCAAAGAGCTGCTTATCCCAGAGGGTTGGCTTGTTTGTGGGTTTTCTGAGTGTCCTCACCTTCATTATCAAATTCTTACCTCCAGAGGTGGAGTGGAGAGTGGTAGGCTGAGTGGGTCAGGACTGCTGCAGCTGCTCGGGGGAAGCTTGCTGTGTGCCTTCCTCTGGGTCTGCTGGTTGCTGTGGAAGCCAGAGCGACCCCCTCTGGAGGGGTTTCAGTGAGAGCAAAGGAAATATCTCTCCAAATAGCAGTAAGTCTCTCAGGACACATGGGTGAAGTGTCAGAATACTCTAGTCATGGTTTATTCTTTTTGAAAGCGTGGAGGAGATTCCCCATCTTAACTCTGAGGCACAGCGATGTCTCCGGTACAGGGCCAAAAGGGACTTAGGTCGAGCAGTGGATGCAAAGGAATCTAAGTGAAACAGTGAATGCAAAGAGGTTAGGAGGGTTACCAGCCTGTTGCAAGTGCTCAAAATAATCCCTATCACTCCCGATTTTATATTTAGGGGACACAGAAACCCTAACAGGTAAATTTGCCTAAGTAACATTGCTAACAAGTGGCCTTTATGCAACCAGGTGACTAACGTCTCTACTATAATTCACTAGAGCAGGTATGAGGTGAGTTTATGCTTACCCTTGTATTCTCAGCATCTATGACAGGACAGGCATATAACTGATACCAAAACTTTCTGTTGAGGCCATTTGGTTCTTTAAAGCATAGCCCTTGGGTTGAAATCCCAATTCCAGTACCTTCTAGCTATTTCACCACTTTCAGTCATGATTTCTCCACCTATTAAAAATGAGGCTTGCTGTTGTTGTTGTTGTTCGGTTGCTAAGTTGTGTCCGACTCCCTTCAATCCTGTGGACTGCAGCATGTCAGGCTTCTCTGTCCTCCACTATCTCCTGGAGTTTGCTCAGATTCCTGTCCATTGAGTCAGTGATGTCATCCAACCAGCTCATCCTCTGCTGCCTCCTTTTCATTTTGTCTTCAATCTTTCCCAGCATCAGAGTCTTTTCCAGTGAGTCATCTCTTCAAATCAGGTGGCCAAACTATTGGAACTTCGGCATCAGTCCTTCCAATGAATATTTAGGGTTGATTTCCTTCAGGATTGACTGGTTTGATCTCCTTGCAGTCCAAAAGATTCTCAAGAGTCTACTCCAGCACCACAATTTGAAAGCATCACATCAATTCTTCAGCTCTTAAGATATCCACACATAATTGCTGAAAAAAACTATAGCTTTGATTATATGGACCTTTGTCAACAGAGTGATGTCTGTGCTGTTTAAAACACCATCTAAGTGATGTCTCTGCTGTTTAAAACACCATCTAAGTTTGTCACAGCTTTTTTCCTGGAGCATGGCTGCAGTCATCATCTGCAGTGATTTTGGAGACCAAAAAATAAAATCTGTCACTGCATCCACTTTTTCCCTTTATATTTTCGATAAGCTACACACTCTAGTATTCTTTCCTAGAGAATCCCATGAACAGAGGAGTCTGGTGGGCTACAGCCCATGGGATCACAAAGAGTCAGACACAACTGTGTGACTAAGCATGCGCCTGTGCACACACACACACTCACTTGCCATGAAGTGATGGGACTTGTTGCCATGATCTTCATTTTTTGAATGTTGAGTTTTAAGCCAAACTTTTCACTCTCCTCTTTCACCCTAATCAAGAGGCTCTTTAGTTCCTTTTCACTTTCTGTCATTAGAGTGCATCATCTGCATATGTGAGGTTGTTGATATTTCTCCTGGCAGTCTTGATTCCAGCTTGTGATTCAGCCAGCCCAGCATTTCTGTATATTAAGTTAAATAAGCAGGGTGACACTATACAGCCTTGTCATACTCCTTTGCCAATTTTGACACTTCATGGATCAAGCCTCATCAGGTCAAAGGGGCTTACATAGCTCAATGAAGCTATGAGCCATGCCATGCAGGGCCTCCCAGGATGGAAGTGTAATAGTGAAGAGTTCTGACAAAACCTAGTCCATTGGGGGAGGAAATGGCAACCCACTTCATTATTCTTGCCACAAGAATCCCAAGAATCCCACAATATGAAAAGGCAAAAAGATATGATAGAGGAAACTGAGCCCCCCAGATCAGAAGGTGTCCAATATGCCACTGGGGAAGTTGTTTAGTCGCTCAGTCGTGTCCGACTCTTTGTGCCCCCATGGAATGTAACATGGTAGTCTTCCCGGTCCTTCATCATCTTCCAGAGCTTGCTCAAACTTATGTCCATTGAACTGGTAATGCCATCTAACCCTCTCATCTTCTGTCATCCCCTTCTCCTCCTGCCTTCAATCTCTCCCAGCATCAGGGTCTTTTCCAATGAGTCAGTTCTTCACATCAGGTGGCCCAAGTATTGGAGCTTCAGCTTTAGCATCAGCCCTTTCAATGAATATCCAGGATTGATTTCCTTTAGGATGGACTGATTGGATCTCCTTGCAGTCCAAGGGACTCTCAACAGTCTTCTCCAACACCAAAGTTTGAAAGTATCAATTCTTTATCACTCAACCTTCTTTACAGTTCAACTCTCAAATCCATACATGACTACTGGAAAAACTACAGCTTTTACTAGATGGACCTTTGTTGGCAAAGTAATGTCTCCGCTTTTTAATATGCTGTCTAGGTTGGTCATAACTTTTCTTCCAAGGAACAAGTGTCTTTTAACTTTATGGCTGCAGTCACCATCTGTAGTGATTTTGGAGACCAAGAAATCAAGCCTGTCACTGTTTCCATTTGTTCCCCCATCTATTTGCCATGAAGTGATGGGACCAGATGATCTTATATTTTTGAATGTTGAGTTTTAAGCCAGCTTTTTCACGCTCCTCTTTCACCTTCATAAAGAGGCTCTTTAGTTCCTCTTTGCTTTCTGCCATAAGGGTGGTATCATCTGCATATCTGAGGTTATTGATATTTCTCCCAGAAATCTTGATTCTAGCTTGTGCTTCATCCAGCCTGGCATTTTGCATGATGTACTCTGCATAGAAGTTAAATAAGCAGGGTGACGATATACCACGTTGATGTACTACCTTCCCAATATTGAATAGGTCTGTTGTTTCATGTGCTGTTCTAACTGTTTCTTCTTGACCTGCATACAGATTTCTCATGATGCAGGTAAGGTGGTTTGGTATTCCCATCTCTTGAAGAATTTTCCACAGTTTGTTGTGATCCACACAATCAAAGGCTTTGGCATAGTCAATGAAGCAGAAGTAGATGTTTTTCTGGAATTCTCTTGCTTTTTCTGTGATCCGGTAGATGTTGGCAATTTGATATCTGGTTCCTCTTCCTCGAAGAGTGGAGGGCAAAAGGGAGTCTAACAGTCCTTAGACAATACCTATCTCAGAGGCTCGTGGAGAAGTTTAAACAGGTGACACATGTAAGCACTCTGCAATATATAAATTCATTCTTCTTATCAAACTCAACACATGGGGGTGCACAGGACATTTTTGTCCCTTTTGCTCTTTTTATGATTTTGCTAATTTTTGTCAGCAAACATCATGGTTTGCCACAAGGGGGCAATACTCAATGGAAATTGAAATCTATAGGAAAAGACCCCAAAACACAAATAAACAAAGAACCCAAACCAAAAAGTTTCCCTAAAGTAATCAATTTCTCCCCCTACTCCCATGTCTCTCTTTCTGTCTCTCTCCCTGTACCCTTGTAAATGTAGTTGGCTCATGATAACAGTTAATTCATATTGGAATTCTGTTCTTTTCTTCAGCCTGTTCTTCAGAAATCTGTCATCATAATAAAATCTTAATTCTAGAAGGGAATTTTAGAAGTCATACTATTACATGGGACAAATTCTACCATCTACAGTTATTCCTGCTTCCTTAGTTGGTGGTCTTGACTTGCTGCTTCCACAGCCCCACTAACTGAGTCTTGTCTTCCTTGCTTCTCTATTTAATAGTGAAATTATCTAAGTGAAATAAGCCAGACACAAAAGACAAATATTGTGTGATTTTTGCTTATATAAGATACTTATAAGTCAGATTCATACAGACAGAAAGTAAAATGGTGTTGACCAAGGGCTGGGGAAAGTGGGGCATGGAAAGTTGTTGAATAACAGATTTCAGCTGGAGAAGATGAAAATGTTTAGGAGTTGAATGCTGGTGATGGTTGCACAGCAACGTGAATGTACTTAATGCCACAGAAATGTACACTTAAATTAAATAAGATGGTAAATTTTATGTTTATATATATGTGTATATATACATGTGTGTGTATATAGATATATACAACCACAACAGAAAATAATGTTAAAAATTGAATCATGAATTTTGTGCATTTGGAGTGAATGTTGTTTTTCTAGACCTTATATAAAGTTAAACTAGCATGATATAAACCCATTTCCAAGGAGTGTGTTTTGAGAAAAGATAACACCCAGATGTGAAGGCAAACAGGGACATGGCATGACATTCTCGCCATGGAAAGGGCTGAAGGGTGCATTTAGTCTCCTTGGGTGCATTCACCTTCTATTTTGTCCTCTCTTACTAAACCATGAATTTAGCCTCAGAATATCTTAGTCTAGGAGGCCTGCGTCTACAAAACTAATTATAATTAATAATAACCCAACAGTTTCACTTACTGAGTACAAATTAAGCACCAGGCTTAAGTACCTGACATAATACAGGTCAAGACAAATGTTTTAGGTAGATTTACAAATATATATTAGTTTACTATCCTCACCTCATTATTTTGCTCTTTAAAATAAACAGACAAGCAAAGCCCACACACCCCATTTCAGAATTAAGCAAACAGACATTTCTCTGAGCCAGTAACCATGCCAACATGTATGTCAGCCAGTAGGGTTTGTGAAACTCACCATGCAGTTGACAGGGCCACATACCATGAAGTAGAAAGTTTTGGAGAGGCTACATTTCAGTCCATTAAAATTTCCTATGAAAAAGACCTTGCTGATATGGACACTCTTTTTTTTTTTTAAGTTAAGAAAGAATCTGTTTTTATCATTATGGTAGGGAAAATAAAGCATGAAAACAACTACAGTCAGTTCAAAACTGACTGTAAATCCACCTTAAAGCAAAACCATTTCTTGTGTCTCTCAAGTGTCTGGGTTAATGTGGCATATGAGAAAGCCTGACTAGCAGGTATAATTAAAGTATGAATCACAGGAATAAGTCATGAGTAACTCTGAAAATACCTACAGGGGAAAAGTCCATTATAACACACTAAACTTTAGAGGTTACATGATGGAGGGTAGGAGGAAAAATCCAAGCTCTATATAAATGAACTGATGATGGGCTTGAGTGAAAACATGTTAACAATGGCATCAGTGCATCATTGGTCCAATGTCTGTGTAAGGCTCCATAACACAGCAATTCTGCCTGGTGATATATAGGTACTCATGTTTTCTATTCTGAGAACTGCTTGAGGTCAGGCACCATGGTTTGCTTTGTCTTTTATAACTCACTTCTCTGCCCAGATCCTAATGTATACAGTAGGCATAAAGCATGAGATTGCATACATGAATGGGTAAATGGTAATGTATATCTTAGAATCTAGATTAAATCTGTCCTGACATATAAAAGTTTTAAAGAAAAGGTGAAAATTGACGTCCAACTTATGAAATGTTACTTATCAAGGACTGTTGATGCATTTTTAAAGAATTAATCATAAAGAATTAATTCATTTCACTTAATGATAAACAGGAATAGATTATTATATTTTATTGTTTCATATCTCAGCAGTTGGCATTGGATTTAGTTGCTTGTAACAGCAACATGGCAAAAGTTGAAAAGAAACTGTTTGGCCTGACTAATTTTTTCTTTCAGGCTGTGCGATGAATAGATGTAAAATCACCTCAGAAGAAAGCCAGCCCCACTGCAGCTTGTATCACATCATTAACTGACAAATCACATTGTTGCCCTCCACCCCACCTCATCTTCCCAGAAGAGAAGTATTCAACTGACAGACAGGTCAGCTACTAAACATTTAAATGACTCTAATCGTGATTGGCCATTCTGCCAATATTTTGACGTCTAATGATGCAAACATGCATGGAAAGTTAAAGTCCAACTTCCTTGACACAGAAGAATTAAAATCAAAGCCATCAAATACACTGTTTACATCATCTTATCAGTCTTGGTTTAGTTTCCATGCTATTTTTAATGTTCATGTGTACTTAAAAAATGAAACTAAAAGTCCTGACAGATTCTGAAACTTAATTGGGAAAAATGTAAAGCACTTTAACGGAATTTTTCCCATGATCTGTAGATTTTCTTTTAACAGATGGTTCAAATGGACAAAGCAATGAAAACACAGAAATTAAAAGCAGATCCTTAAGAAAAATAACTGAGTTCTCAGAAATCCTATAGATGATGGCAGGACTAGACGTAAAGCAGTAGTTTCTTTCGCTGTCAAGGTTTTCAGAGAAAAGAAATTTATTAGGTGAGCCTGTACCAGAGGAGAGGTAACTGCCTCTTTGTACGAATTAACTATTCATTTGGAACTTCAGCCAACTTTGACAGCTTGAAAATCTCCCTGCTTGTAGGGCAATTCCCTCCAGGTGAGGCGACCATAAAAGATACAGTATTGTGATGCAAATAGTTCCTCTTCTAGAGGAGGAAGGAACACGGAAGGCCGAGGTGCTTGTTTGGGGAATAAAAACGACTTAAAATCTTCCCACCTTCACAGCAACTAGGAAAAAGAACAACCACAAAACAGCCTTTGGGTCTCTGTAGCTTTCCATTTAGAATATTAAAAAAAAAAAAAAGAAAGAAAAAACTTGACTCTTTACGATCAAGGCAGTGAACGGTGGGAAAGAGAGGAAAATTTTTCAGCCTGGAATATACAAGCATTGCAGTGCAGACTCGCGAAGTAAAATCTAAACGAACGCTCCAAGGTAGCATCTTCAAACCTGGCTTTAAACTTTAGGGAAAAGTTACCGCTGGTTCCTTTCGAGGGAGCGGGTGGTGAAGGACGGGCAGGGAGGCGTGTCGGGAGCGGGCGGTCGTTTTGTGGACTGGAGGACCCCGGAGTGTTACCGCGGGGCCAGAGGGAGCCCGGAGCCCCCCGGCAGCCGGACTGACGCCCGGGAGCAGGCGGCGCGCGGAGCCGGGAGCGCAGAGCGGGTGGGGCGGGCGGGGGGCGGGGCGGCGCGGGCCGGGGGCGCGGCGGCGGGAGGAGGGTCTCGGATCCCGGCCCGGCGGCCGGCGCGCTGAGCCTGCGTCCGGCGCGGGGGGCGGGTTTAGGCAGCCCGGCCGGAGCGGCGGCTGGGCGCTGGCGGCTCCCGGCGCAGAGCGCTGTCGAGGGGGCCGGCGGGCGGAGCTGCCTGGAGCGTCTGCGCGCCGCCCGAGCGTTCCTGCGCTGCCCGAGCGCGTTCCTCGCCGGCCGAGAGCCTCCCTGCGCCGCCCGCGGCCCGGGACCCCGCCGCCTCCGCGCTCGCGGCGACGATGCGCCCGGAGGACGGCGAGCTGAGCGGACCCGCAGCCCGTGCGTGCGCGCGCTTCCCCGCCGGCGAGGAAGCCTGAGCCCCGAGCCCGGCGCGGGAGGCGCGGGACCCGCTCCCCCTGCGCTCGCCCGCGCGGCCCGCCTCGCTTCCCGCGATCGCGCGCCCCGGCGGCCGGCGGCGCTCGCCGGCTGTGACCGCCCTGACCGCCGGCCCCGACGCGTCCCCGGCGGCCGCCGGCCGTGCTGCTGCCATGGGGCTGCCGACCCTGGAGTTCAGCGACTCCTACTTGGACAGCCCGGATTTCAGGGAGCGCCTGCAGTGTCACGAGATTGAGCTGGAGCGAACCAACAAGTTCATCAAGGAGCTCATTAAGGACGGCTCCCTGCTCATCGGGGCTCTGAGGAGTGAGTGCGGGCGGACAGGGCGCGGGGACCGGGGAGCCCCGCGGGGTGGGGGGTCTCAGGGCTGGGTTGGAGGAAGCGGAGCTTCTTTTGTTTGAATGGGTTTGGGGACAAAAGCTGAAGAGCTCCCCTGCTGGTGGCCAACAAAGTTTGTTCGGAGGTGTTCTTCACTTATTTACTTCCAAGGCTGCAGAGAAGGGAACGGTCTCTACTGGACCCCGGAGTGTATCCCGAGGAACGTTGTTCAAAGGCATCTTTTTGTATAACGCCCCTGGAACAGTGTTGGGGACTGTTGGTCATTTTTGTAACTTTATTCTGCCTAGTTTAAACGCTTAAAAAAAGAAAAAAAGCCCTTGAGGAAGGATTCAAGAGTTTATCTGAAGGATAAAAATGAAGCTAGCTTATTTAGTGATATTAAAAGATGATTAAGTTCTTAGATACATCAGTGACTCATCATTGAAATAAGTCATTGCATTGGCACTTTATAGATTTGTAGCTTTCCGATTTAGTAAGATGAAGAGAGAGAGCATGGCACCAGTGGATTTTATCTCTTTCCAGGGTTTCTGTGCCTGTTAATTTTCGGTTTGCGTTGTAACTCTGGTGTTGGTGAGTCCCTAGTGGCTAAAGACCAATCAGAACTTCTGATGATCTAATAAAGTAAAGACTGCCTCAGTTTAGAAACTTTTCCCACCTCCTTTCCCACATACCTCCCGTTCCGATTTTCTGTGCTTCTTGCATTCTCTGAATCCTCACTTTCAGTTACTAGCACAAAAGAGAGTCTTGGGCTTCCCAGGTAGCTCAGTGGTAAAGGAATCGCCTTCCAATGCAGGAGACTGATTCGGTCCCTGGGTCTGGACGATCCCCTGGAGAAGGAAATGGCAACCTACTCCAGTATTCTTGCCTGGAAATTCCCATGGACAGAGGACTACAGGCAGGCTACCTCCATGGGGTCCCAGAGAGGCTTAGTAAAAGAAACACTAGAGCTTCTCATAGAGAATTGACTGACTAAAGGATAAGGCTTTATAGGTTACTTTTCTCAGGACCTACTTGCTCTCTAATAGAAAGCCTCTGAAATGCAGCCCTGGAAATCCCAGTCTCTCTTAGATGAGTGAGGTATTTTTGTTAAGGGAGGCCGTTGGGTGACCTGGCAACCCCAGGATATAGGTAGGGGAAACATCATTGTGTATTTCATTAACAACATTATGGAGGTGTGTGTGTGCCTGAAACTAAGACAACATTAGCATCTTATCTCTATTTAGAAGCATGTATTCATGGTAAAGATGAACCTTAGCAAAATGTCTTGAAATTAGTGTGCTCCCAAATCCTTTCTATTTTAACCATCCTAATTGCTAAAACATTTACTTATTACTTGTGTTAACTTAGCCAGGGTAAAGAAAATATGTTCTGTATCTACATTCACTTAATTTCTGAATTTGATGCTACTACTGATAATAATAGTATTTACTGATTTGTGAAAAATATACGCGTTTATCTGCAGTTCTGTCCATCTTGTGTATACACAAAGGTGAACTCTGCTTCCATCTGATTTACAAAGCCCACTTGAGGCCTCTGGACTAGCATCTTTGCATCTTGGAGCAGATGATGCCTCTTTAAAAAGAGTTTTACTCTCTCAGAGCACTGATTCTTGCTCGAGCTGCCAGATGGTCTACAAGTGACATTTTCTCCTTGCTCTGCCGGAGATCAATTCCAGTGCTTCAGAAGTGGAAAACACTTCCATAGCTGTGATAAAACCTCTGAAATGTATATCATTTTACTAGTAATCTTATTAACTGTATTATGATTGAATCTAGCCTTGCAACTATCAGGTGTTTCCTTTGTAGGTTTTTTCTTCCATTTATAAGTGAGGATATCTCCAGAGTGTTAAGTTCCTTGAACATACAGACACTGCCTCACGAACTTGACCTTCTACACTTAAAATGCACAATCTGTCTTTCCAGGATTTGTGAGGAGAGTGCATTACATTAACATTTGGTTATTACTTTTCTTGTAGTGGAAAGAAAGCATTTATTAAAAGAAGTTCCAACATTAGCTGCCAAACAGGAAAGATCTGGAGCCGAGAAACCCTTGAAGTCATGTGAGGGCACTTCTTTTTTTCCCAGCAGGCGACCTCTGTCCCTTGGGGAGGATGCTCTGTGGTTCGGCTGCAGCTGCTAATTGCCTGCTCTCTGAAGCTGGTCCCACAGGAGGACAGGAGTGTGTCTAAAGACTTGAAGCTGCCTTAATTCTATCCCACATCCACCAAAGAGCCCTCCTTTCTTCAGTTCTGGCCCTTCTGTTTTTCCTTTCTGCCTTAGGAAGCCTTCGGTTTTCCCCAGCCTTAAACTATGCCTTTCTATTCTCCATACCTGTTGTTTCAGTAAGTATATCCGTTATCCACTTCAGATTTTTATGTAGCACTCTGCCGTCATTTATAATGAATGGTTTCTTAATAAAACTTCCCTGAGCTGACAATCATCCATGCATTTCTAAGCATCTTATATTATTTCCAACCTAGTTAATAAGTTTTCTGCTGAAAGTCTTGGCATGTTCTCTTAGGTAACACATGCTTTATTGTTCCAGTGAGAGTCACATGTGCTCCTTCAGCTTGGGTTCAGGGTGTGCATTTTTTTAGGAGCGAATTTTGAATGATCATTATAAACGAGGACTGTGACTCGATGATTTGAATTTTAAATGTATAAGGTATTTAACATATTTTTAAGATGGATGTGAGAGTTGGACCACAAAGAAAGCTGAGCACCGAAGAATTGATGCTTTTGAACTGTGGTGTTGGAGAAGACTCCTGAGAGTCCCTTGGACTGCAAGGAGATCAAACCAGTCAATCCTAAAGGAAATTAGTCCTGAGTACTCATTGGAAGGACTGATCTGAAGCTGAAACTCCAATACTTTGGCCACCTGATCTGAAGAACTGACTCACTAGAAAAAGCTCTGGTGCTTGGAAAGATTGAAGGCGGGAGGAGAAGGGGACAACGGAGGATGAGATAGTTGGATGGCATCACCGACTCTATGGACATGAGTTTGAGCAGACTCTGGGAGTTGGTGATGGACAGGGAGGCCTGGCTTGCTGCCGTCCATGGGGTCGCAAAAAGTCGGACACGACTGAGCAATTGAACTGAACTGAACTGCATTTCACTCTCACATCCACTCTGAGAAAATGGATGACAGTAAACAAGTTAATACAGGGATTAATGTAGACCTGGGTTTACGTTCTGATGCTGTCAAGTGCTGTGTGATGCTTCAAAAGTAACTTAACCTCTGGGTCCTACCTTTCCTTATGGGGAGGGAACAGCTATAAAGATTTTAGCACTAGGACTGTTTGTTCATTTTGTTACATGCCATATAGTCATTTGGTGAGTGGTGTTTGAGAATATATGATACTGGTGAATTGGGTTTTAGTTCATGCTATATGACTCACAGTCTCTACTCTTCTTATCAAATGTTAGTCTGTGAACTTTGTTCCTTTAACAGGTGCCAGTTTCAAATTTTGGGTTGTGAAGTCATAGGCTCATTTTGCTTATTAATTTTCTCCTTTTATAGATGACATCCAAAGAAACATTTCATATCCAAAGAAACATTTCAAAGTGTCTTTCTCATATAATTCCCCCTTTACTTCATATAAAATATAATCTCCCCTTCATGTAAAATTTTTGAATTCAAAACTTTGTATAAAACCTTTTAAGTTCAAAGAACCATCTTTTAAGTTGAACGTAGTCTTTCCAACAATAGGCAGACCCTCCCTCTAAGGAAAGAAGAGGAAAAGAGGGGGAAAGGCCTGAGATGGAATTGTACTCATTAATAGAATTGATTGTGTGGAGAGCTTATCAACATTCTTTCCTCCCACCTACCTGCAGCATCTTGGCCATCCCACCCTTCTTTTCACTATCTATTGTAACGCTTCTCTCATCACCTTAAAGTGGAATTGGTCAGTTTTTTCCTCTACCTTGAGGAGAGTGTTTCTCAACCTTGTGTGGCTGGGCTTCTTTTAAAGAAAAAAAAAAGTTAGTGGACTCTAATAGAATTTATTTTTTATGATAGTTAAATATATTCATGAAACTAATTCTTAGGCATATTAATGCCATCTTAAAGGCAGATCAGCTTGCAAATTAAATATAAATAATATTGTGAATCCAATACAAAACTAAGTTTAATCAACCTAATGGACGATACTATTTTGCCAAAATGACATTTTCTCTTCTGTAAAGACTGCGGATAATATCTTATGTATTGTTGATGATTCATTTTCTTATCGCTTTTCCTGATTCAAAGTGCAGGTTTTCAAAATCTACTTGTCTTTTTGATGGCCTTCTCTGACTCGTAAACCTTATTCATCTGTTCTTAGAGTGGTTGTTCTGGCACTAGTGATCCATGGCACAAACAGGAGCGTGGTAGAATGGTAGGAGTTGGTTGCTCATAAATTGATACAGAATATGCAGTTAGTTAAGACATTAGCAAGAGGAAGCACACAGTCTCTTTTTTTTGTTTGTTTTAGATTTAGTGAAGTATCGTTGGTTCACAGTGTTGTGTTACTTTCTGCTGTGCAGCGAAGGGACTTGGTTATGCATTCATGCGCATTCTTTCTCACGTTCTTTTCTGCTATGGTTTATCACAAGATGCTGAATAGTTCCCTGTTCTGTACAGTGGAAGCTTGTTGTTCATCCTTCTCTGTGTAGTAGTTTGCATCTGCTAATCCCAAACTCTTGTTGCATCCCTCCCCCAGCCTCTCCTTCCGCTTGGCAACCACAACTGTGTTGTCTGTGTCTGTGAGTCTGTTCCCTAGGTGAGTTCATTTGGGAAACACACACAGTTTCTCAGAGATGTCTGCCTGCAGTATCCACCGCCTCAGTTGGAAGCACACTGCTGCGATGCACTTCTGGTCTGGGGATAAAGTAGATGCTTAGCGTGAAAGCAACCCTGAGTGCACAGGCTGCATTCAGAGATCTTTGGGAGGGTGAGGCTGAGAGACTCCCACCTTCCATTTGCTGTGT